TCTATCTATCTATCTATCTATCTATCTATCTATCTATCTATCTATCTATCTATCTATCTATCTATCTATCTATCTATCTATCTATCTATCTATCTATCCATCCATCCATCCATCTAATAATCTGCTTCACCTCCTCACGTCTCTAAAATGTTCGTACTCAAGTGTCAGAGTTAGTTTACGAACATTCTCCTGCTAAGCTTGTTTTTTTAGATCCCAGTAGTTTGTGTGCTTCAGTTATAAATCAGGCGACTTGTTGCTGACATGCAGCGTTTCACAGGATCTCTGGTGTCAGCATGTTTCCATCGGCCTCATCAGCACATTTTCACTTCCTCCATTTTCACTCAAAAGTCAAATTGAGCCGAAGACTCCTCCTCAAACAGAAACTCTTCGTCTCCTCTGGTGGTTTCACTGTCGTCACCAGTTCCTTGTTGTTGTCAGGTGAATATAAATCATGTGATGTGACGATCGTTCTCTTCATGTCTGTGGAAAGTCATAAATGAAATAAAATAAAAATTTAACAAAGACATTTTAAAGTCTGATGTGTTGCTGTCACATGAAGATATAAAGTTTTTATAAACCATGAGCTCATGTTCTTATCAGAACAGCACAATATTAATGAAAGATCGAACTATTGACTGTTGATTTCATTCATCTGGACAGAAGCTGTGAACGCTGATGTGTGTGTGTGTGTGTGTGTGTGTGTGTGTGTGTGTGTGTGTGTGTGTGTGCACTCTGGTACAGATTTCTTTGTGAGGACATTTTGTCTGGTCCTCACTTTCTGACTGTTTGGGGTTAAGACCTGGTTTTAAGGTTCTGCTGGGGAACTCATTATGCCAATGAGTGTCCTCACTAAGATAGAAATACAAACATGTGTGAGAATTATTTATTTTCCTTACATGTTAGAGTGAAGTGAGAAGGTTGATACCACTCCCATACACCAGGGGGAGACAACTTAACTACACAGTTTATCCTGCAGGGGGCAGACGATGCACATAAAACAGGAAGGGACTTTCAGCATCAGTTTATTTATGTTAATATATGTTATTATATATTAATTATAATTATAGATAATTCCTCCAGGTTCCACCAGGTTCTAAAAGGTTCCACCAGGTTCAGTCAGGTTCCACCAGGTTTTAAAAGGTTCCACCAGGTTTTAAAAGGTTCAACCAGGTTCAGTTAGGTTCCACCAGGTTTTAAAAGGTTCTACCGGGTTCAGTCAGGTTCCACCAGGTTTTAAAAGGTTCCACCAGGTTCAGTTAG